ATATGAGAGATCCGATCGGTAAAATAGTTTGTTGTTAGAAATATGAATGCCTTGAAATTTGAAAATTGGACGCTCAAAATTCATATTACTATCTGTGCACGACTCTTGTGTTCATGGCAAACACAAATGTTGACCACTGAGTAAATAAGACTATTATTCCAGCTTGATGTGCTTTATTACATAGTAGACATTACGATTTATTTACAAACGAACGTGAAAAATCGACAACAAAGAAAAACTAGATGATACACGAACTAAGTTCGTCATGCGAACTCGGTACAAAGCTCATTCTCACACTGGACTGATCATTTACCAGATTATCAAACTTTTCATTTATTTGAAACGATGGAATCGTGAAATTCAATTCTAAAATCTTCGAATTAGTTGAAATGTTAAGTTTACTAAAAAAATACATATATTTTCATATTATAGACTTAACTAGAAGTGCGTGTCAGACGAAAAATACAATATTGTGCGAGGCCAAATCGTTGTCAAACTAATTATTTTTGAAAATCTTTCTAACAATTACAGCATTATGCAATGTAAACTCAATGAGGCTTTTATTCTGACATACATGTTTGATAAAAGAACTTCAAAAGTACAGTTCAAGATGCAATATGAATCGTAATCTTCTCATATCCTAATGTTTTTATCAATTTTTCATCGTAACAACAAGCACGTGTCTGTGAAGCAAAAAACCTTTAAATCAGTTGTAGATTTATCATATGCCTCACAATAGGCTTATTTTGTTATCTCTTGTATGTCTACGAAAGATATAGCATAAATAATACAAAATGAAAACAGATATGCAATAAATTGAAATGAAGAACGGTGATTTCGTTTGTTTGGATAATATAATTTTTATATCAAAGTAATTTGATAAAATATATTACGTCTATTTTGATGAACATTTGCTTAGTAGAAATATCGTAATAAATGTTGTTTCATAGAAGTAATAATCGATATCCATCACAATGACTTGATATGTAAAAACAAACATTTATACGATCACTTTTAAACTCGAAAAAAATCTAGATTGACTGGCATAGAAAAAGTTGTGCTCATCAACTGGTAAAGAATCCTCTACTAGATCACTCGTTTACCGTTGCTGGGTGCAACACTCGTTCGTCCAGTGACCAGGGCTGGACGGGTCAAGCTATTTTTCCCATTTTTTCTTTTTCTTTTATTTATAAAAAAGAACGTCAACAACAAGTTTTTCATTACACACCATCTAGCTCCTAGTTTTATCCAGGCAAACAAAAATAAGTAAAGTTACACAGAAAATAAAATGAGACAACTACTCTAGATTAATTAACAGAATACGAACTCTAAAAGAAACTTGTATAGCTAATAAAGCTACACTCACACTAAAAATAATCAATGTTTTTTATTAATAAAAACTTAAACTAAAATCATTTACAATTAAAAAAATTAGTTAAATTACTTAGGTGTATCCAAAAGTAGTGGTGGACGTACCTTATTTTCTTATAGAAGGCTTGAGGAAATTTTCTTTCTTTATGAGATGATAGAGAAAATGAAGCTCTATATTTCTGTACGATTTCATCCCTATTCAACTGGTATCATAAAAATAAAATTTCGATAAGAACTCTTTTTGTGTAAAACTTCACTAACGCGTGAGGCAGATTAATACGCTTTCCATCTCAATGTCCAATCATTTAATGCATTGTATTAAAAAAACAAAATATACCACAAGATGCAGCGTGAAAAGCTCTACAATTTATAATGAACAGTTTATTTAATATATGAAATAAGACAAAAGCAATTTCTCTTCGCATGATTGTTTTAGGACAGCGAAAACTAGTCGTCCAAATTTTTGTTTCTTTTTGACAAGAAGTAAACAATCAAAATAAGCTTTAGTTTGTGGATTGTAGAGTTTTTCACACTGCATCTTGTGATGTATTTTGTTTTTTTTTAAATAAAAGATATCAAGTGATAAAAAGATGAAAGACGAAGAATTGAATTCATGTTGTACCAAAACATATAGTTTTCGCATGGCCGAAAATTGGTGGCTCAAAATTTTGTTCATTTTGAAAACAAAAAGTGCAACTGTAAAATAAGTTGTCTCATGTAAATTGTAGAGCTTTTTACACTGCATCTTGTGGTATATTTTGGTTTTCAATACAACGTATTAAGTGATTGCAACATTGAATCTGCCTCACGCGTTAGTGAAGTTTTACACAAAAAGAGTTCTTATCGAAATTTTCTTTTTATGCTACCAGTTGAATAGGGATGAAATAGTACAGAGAAATAGAGCTTCATTTTCTCTATCATCTCATAAAGAAAGAAAATTTCCTCAAGCCTTCTATAAGAAAATAAGGTACCTCAGCCACTACTTTTGGATACACCTAAGTAAATGCCTTTTTACATTTAAAAGATGTCCAAATAAAAATCTTAGTTTCTGTGAAACTTGAGAAGTTCGATCTTATAGAAAGTCTACTTTGAGAAAACACGCGTTCAAGAGGTATGTTCAGATTTCCAGAAAAGGAAATTACCCATATTTCCGAAATTTTCATCAGCTCGATTACTATTTAGCAGTACAAATTAAAAGTTTTTAGACATATTGAAAATTTCTGTAATTTCAGAAATTTCAGAAATTACATCATTTTAGAAAGTAACGTATAATTCCGAACACAAACGCTTGAAATCTCCGAAACTTTCGAAATTTCCTTTTTCGGAATTCTGAACACTGCTGGTGTTCAATGGGTGGTTACATATCAGAAAAATATGTCATTGTTCTAACAAGCTTATTAAGAGATCGATAACAGTTTACTTTGTTAAAAATAAGAAAGTTGGTGAGGATGTGAATGAACAGAAGATTGCACATCTGCTTTCTTGAATGAAAAGTGAATAATGTGAAATGAGTGATAGAAAAATTTACATTAATTATGATGATATTTCAGCATGCCCACAGTACATCGCTCACTGAAGGTTATCCTAGATATGCATGACAACATCTTTTTTTGGACGATTGGCAAGACTTTCAATAATTACGCATAAGGAATTATGTTGAACTAGTTTTTTCCAATACTCCAAATAATTGAAAATCTGTAGCAAAATTTTAAGTAAAGATTTAACAGTATGCTTATCAAGGTCATCCAGTTTCTGGTTCAATAATACTCCATACATAGATAACAGAAGCTCTGTAAAGAATTGTATCGGCTCTATTTCGAAATACGATTCATTTCCTATAATGTCTTCGATTGCTTACGCTGGCGAGATGGCATGATATAATAATCCCAGAAATTTCGACAAATGATATCCGCCAGTTCTTAAAATCGTCGACTTTAGCAACCTTCTGACACAAAACCTACAAATCTCTGCTGACCTCACGTATAAGTTTTTTATTTTCTTCTGGTTTCTCATCGCTTGTTACTAGTGCAATCAATGTCACATGAAAAATACATTGCAGGTTGAGATCTTTTCCATCAGCGGCTAAGTTCTTACGCTTCACAGAATGCCGAATGCCGTATCTGTTCAATCTGTTGATATGAGACGCAAATCTGTCTTTCATTCATCCATAACCACCTACACCCTTCGTTCATGTAAAGATAATATTCGAGAAATGTCAGCGAAAGTAAAAAATAGAAAAAATGTTAGCCTTAAATATCTAATTGATTTTTTTAAAGGTGGTGCTTGAAATCGAAAAATACTCTGGTCGCTTGAATCATGAAATAAAGCTGTTTATATTCAAATGCTTGCTATTTATATATGTGCTATAAATCGATTTGCAAACAACCAAAAAAGACGAATAATGTAAAACAGAAAAAGACTGAAATACCATTTCGAACAAAACGAAATGATCGAATTTTAACTGTATCATGCATTTATAGATTCTTACCTTCAATAGAAACTGACGCAAACTGATCTTCATTTTATAAAATTGCTTAAATTATCATCAATTGATAATGGTGGAGAGTGGTTTTTACGTGATGTTACTTGACTTTGTGATATCAGATAAAAACTTCGATTTAGAAGATTTTATATTTTTCTGCACATAAGTTTATAGAATGTTTTTGTATATATGATCAAACAAGGAACGACCTTATATCAAATGTAAAATTTAATACTAATTTAGGGTGTTGGTGAAATGAATACTCACACGCATCCATATCTTCAAAAATATAACAACAAATCTTCTAGTTCTTACTGTATTTTCAATTTTGTTTTTCCTACTTGAATTGATCTATCTGCCTGAAAGTGAAAATCAAAAGCAGAACAACCTTTGTTTGAATCATCGACTTGACGAGATGCTATGTAATACTGAGAGTATTCAAACGTAATAATTATAAAATCCAACAACAATTTACAGTGTAGATTTTTTGTGGATATTTCTTGGCTTTTTTGTCACGTACAAGTAATTAAGTTTCGCAAGCACATGATCATATTTTTACGTCTTTTCTTTTGAGTTGGCCTTCAATAAAACATCCATCTAGATACGCTATCACATACAAAAAAATGAACGAGAAAAGATAAGAAAATCTATGAAGTAATTCATAGGTTGCAAAACCTCATTCTGACTAGAAAAAAGTAGAACAAAAACGCAATATATATTTATATTCGATTGTACGCATATTATTAATTTCAAAAATAATATTACACGACGACAAGTCACAAGGTTTCAAGAGTTATTCTAGGCTGTGCAACAATGGATCCTTCAGGAACAAGCTTTGCAAGAATCACTACCGTAGATGGAATGAAAGAAATGTTCAAGGTTTTACAGTCATATGGCTATAGTGAACTCGATACTGCTCGATTATACAATGAAGTTAAGCTAGAAGCTTTTACACGAGACACGGATGTGCTCAATGAAGGATTCATCGTGGCCACAAAAGTGTATTCTGTGGAGGCAGGTATGCATAAACCAGACAGGCTTTGCCAGCTATTCGAAACAACTCTCAGAGAACTAGACCAACAGTCTGTCGAAATTTTCTACCTTCATGCGTCTGATCGAAATGTTCCATACGAAGAGATTTTTGAGTAAATCAATAAACTACACGAAGAAGGCAAATTTAAGATATTTGGATTGAGTAACTATGCAGCTTGGGAGGTAGCACAAGTTGTGAAAATCTGCATTTCTCACAAATGAGTCTATCAAGGCATGTACAATGCTCTTACACGTGCCTTAGAAGAGGAACTCATACCATGCTATCGGCACTATGGAATTGACATAATCGCCTACAATCCCCTTACTGGAGGCATTCTCTCCGGAAAATACGAGTCATCGCAAGGGGGAAACAACTGACTCCGGGACTCCGGGACTCCATGGGACTTCATGGGACTCCATGGGACTCCATGGGACTCCATGGGACTCCATGGGACTCCATACATAGGCGGAGTTCAAGAGCCCTTGCTATTATTTAAATCTACTGCTTTTCACGATTGATTACTAAAAACAAAGAAAAGAAATTATATAAGTGAAAATATGTGAACATTCGCGAAGATACGAAAATTATTCAATTAGTGTTTGCTCAAAAGAAGGGCTTTTATTACTATCAACATCTCATATATTTGCTTAAAAATCATGGGTAAAATGTAAAACAAATTAAGAAAAAAACAAATGTATAAACATAAAAATAATAAATTACGAAATAGACCAAGCATGTATGAATAGAATAAGTGAATTATTAAGTTAGAAAATATCAATTTGATATAGAATCTTACTAAATAAGAGAATATTAGAGAAGTAATTCGAAAAGAACAAACAATATAATGTTTCACACGTAAATCTTATGTTCTTGTTCTTTTTGTTGATTCTCTTGTGTTACATGAAGATTCTATTGCTTGAACTTTTCTTTTTACTTGTCGTTTAGTTGCTAATGACGATTGTGTTATAGTAGTTCCATCATCATCTATTGATAAAGAAGATGGCATAGATAAAGTAGAATTTGATTGAATGGTGATTGGTGGTGATATATTAGGTACGCGATTTGGTGATGATGTTTGCGGGTGTGGGTGTGGGTGTGGATGTGGATGTGGGTGTCGGTGTTGGTGGATATGGTTGTAGTTAAAAAGATCCAACCTACACATCCACATCCACACCCACACCCACACCCACACCCACACCCACACCCACACCCACCCACACCCAATTTATATCGATTAACCATTTACATGATATTATCAATAGTGACATTTATACTAAACTTGATCATGGATTAACAAAATCTGACATTAATCCTAAGGATCGTCAAAACTTTAGTTCCTGTTTAAAATTAACATCTACTGATCTATTCAAAATTTTAAATGATAATGTTAATACTCGAGGAACATTAATTTATCTTCAGATGTTAAAAATGATTGTAGTGGCCTACGTTAAGAAAAAAACAACTATTGCTGAACGTAAGTATATGCATTTATCATATCTGTTGTCTGAGAGCGAGAAACTCTTCAATCAAGAAACACCACATATAACAAGATTTAATTTTAGGACTTCGATCTGCTTGGTGTGTCGTGTTTTTTTGTAGAATATGGTTTACATGGATTAGATTTAACACATTCAATTCAACGCAATCTACAGAAAACAAAAGCAGATATTTTATTACCAGACCAGCATACTTATGAGTCTATGGGCTTTTTTATTTCAAACTGAATTCCAAAATCAAAAAAACCACACCAATTTCTTCCGAATCAAACTTTTCTCGCTTGATGATACTACGTAGTCTCACTAAAAACCCTTAGTCCCCCCTAGTCCTGCAAAGTCCCCCTTAGTCCCCCCCACAAAAAGCTTAGTCCCCACTTAGTCCCTTGTGCAGGGGACTAAAGCCTATAGTACACAAAACCACAAGCATACCCTCACCCTCACTCGCGCGCCCACACCCGCACCATGGGTGTGGGTGTGTGTGTGGGTCCCAGACCAACACCCACACCCTCAGTCACCCCCCTCCCTCACTCCTAGACTCACGTTTCAGTTTGAAATCAAGTATTATTTTTATTTGATAAATTCAGACTGAAATTAAATAGCCCATAGTATGATACTTATCGGCTGAAATAAACGCACACAATTTATTATATTTAGTTTTACTTGTCAAACAAAAACAACTACCACCACATGTACTGTGTATTCATGCTTTTAGTTCACAAGCCTGTGAATCAATTTTTAGAAACACGCGAGCATTAAGTGGAATTTATTCAACTATAGTTAATTTTACAGTATATGATTTTTTACGACGTGCCCAAAGACTTTCATTATTGAATGATATTAAATGTAAGCAATCGAATGATGAATCAGTTAATAATTTGACCTTTCCAGTTCATCACAAACATCAAAATGATCGACAATCATCATGTACAGAAAGTCAAAATGAGATTGATCAAATAGATATTGAACAAATTATTACCAAGGCGTACCATGAAGCTATTGATATGCTCGATGGCTTAGAAATATTGAATGTGCTGAAAAACAAACGTGTTCTCGATTTAAAATTATTAAGTGAATATGTATTTAAACAATTAAATTCTAATTCAAAAATGTATGACTATTCATCTCAACGAAGTAATATGGATGATGGTGAATTTGAAATAGATGATGATGATGATGATGATGATGATAATGAAACAACAGATGATCTTAACATGGATGATGATAATAATGATAGTTTTTCCTCGAATGCTGATTACACTGATGAAGACGAACAAGAAGATACTGATAATTCAATAAATACCACAAAAAATGAGTTTGCTGGAATAAAGATCTGCAGTAAGGTTGAATCTGACACAGAACATTGTTATTTTAAAGTTACAATTAATGATGATACAAAATATTTACGTAAACAAACTGCTTGTTGGTTATTAACTGAAGAAAAAAGTAAACTATCAAACGACCGGCTACTTCGAGTACAACAGGCTAATAAAAATAAATAAATGTTTTTTTTCTTGTTTAACACTTTGTTTGGTTTTATTATTAAATAAACGATATTCTGTTTAGTTTAAAGTTTTAGAATAAATGAATGTGCTGAATGCAGAGAAGAGATAGATGTTGTACGTTCATTTTCAAATCAAGACTAACAACTATATTATTTGATTTTACAATTGATAGGAAAATCAAGACACGTCAATATCAAACCTTTCCTATAATAGATTTCTCCAGATTTGACGAGAATTTCACGGGACTCCGAGGGACTCCGATGGACTCCGAGGGACTCCGAGGGACTCCGATGAACTTCAAAGGACTCCGATGGACTCCGATGACTCCAATGGACTCCAAGGGGCTGGAGTCAGTTGTTTCCCCCTTGAGTCATCGTCAGAAATTTCTACTGAAGGTCGGTTCTCTAATGTCGAAGGAAATACATATGGGAAGCTGTACCGTGACCGATACTTTAATCACGTTTATCTCGATGGTATTAAGCGTCTTACACCGACAGTAGAAAACTATGGTCTCACTATCACTGAGACAGCGTTTCGATGGTGATGGAATCGCTATTGGAGCGAGTAGTGTCGAACAATTAGAATCAAATTTAAAGGACTTATAAAAAGGACCACTACCAAAGAAGGTCGTCCAAGCATTGGATGAAGCATGGCACAGCACTCGAGCTGTTGCGAAGACATATTGGAGATAGGTGAACAAAGTTTGTTTCTTTTTCTTTTATAATTTTTTTTGAATGACTTTTACAGAAACAATAAAAAGAAATAAAACGACAAAAATAAGACGAAACTGTAGACAACTTAACATTATCGGCATCAGAGAGCTTGAGTGTAGATCATCTTCTCATCGTTCCACAAAGTACATATTTTCATACGCTATAGTTTCGATTGACTTCCTTGATATAATTGACAGCTTCAGCTAATACTCTATATAATTATATAGATGGCAAATTGTGAAAGCCTGGGCACTTATAATATTGCCTTTGGCTTGAATATCTCCAATAAATTTTTCTTTTCTTTTGTTTTCTATCATTATCTAAATATTTTTGAATTTTACATGCACTAGTATAAGCAAGAGATCGTTGAGTAGGCAGTGTTGTGTGACAAAAAGAAAGGAAGCAGCGAACGATCGGAACTGGTGCTTTCGATGAATAGTATTTCAAACCAAAAAAAGCCGCATGTGCTTGCATACGCAAACATTTGAATGATATTCAAACATAAAAATTGATCTTTACCAGTTATTTTTTGTTAAGATATTGATAAAGCATACGAAACTGAACAAATAAGCCTACTTGTCATTCATCTTCATAATCAATCTCAATAAACATCCTTATTTCATCAGAAATGAATGTTTCAGCTGAAATGGTCGCTTTTACGTATTTACTGCTTTCATAACCTTTCTTGAGTCTTCCACGATGTGTTCAGCAGCATTGACTAGATCCATGGCATAATCAACTCCATTCTATTGATTCGAAGCTAGTGTGAGTATGCATAGCAGTGGGTGTGAGAGCAAATGTGAAAATGGATGTGAACTATAGAGCGTGAGTGAAGATATTCATTTCAACTACTCCTACCCTCACCTGTCACAAGAAAATATTGCACATGTATTTGAAAAGAACGTTAACTTCTGCTCCTGACTGACTGCTTTTGGCTTGCAACAGTTGCTACTGAGCATGTAAAACATGAGTAAACATTTTATCTCAAGACTTTCATGTCGTAAGTTATTAGCCAAACGAAACAGAATATCATTTTGAAAATTTTTCATTGACAGTTGTCAGCAATATGTTCTTGATGAATCGACAGGTACGACTGAAAAAGATTCTTAAAACGCTCATTTTTCTTTATTAGGTTTGATCTTTTGCGTTAGATCAAATTGATAGAAAAGTTCGATTTTGTCTTAGAAAGAATTACAAATTATGTTGAATATTTCCATAGAAGATTAAAAAAACAATTCCCTGCGTGATGTTGATTATGCATTGTATAGAGAATTGGACGGTTTAAAAATGAATCAATAAATTTGAATTCATTCTAATCAATAAATTGAATTTGGGTCGAACAACTCTGAAATCGTGAGCGGCAACCGCCGGTTGTGTAAACAAATGTATGATACGGGAAGAGTATAATAGCTTTGATTCTTATAAAACTATTAGAAAAAAATAGATGTACTTTTTTTTTGATTATTCGAAATAGTTTAAAAACTAATTGTTAATTACACACTAGAATTACATTATCAAGAAATTGAAAAAAGTTTCTGAATTATCGAAACAAATAGTAGAAAAGATTATTTACACAAAATTGTCTAAATTAAAAAATACACATATGATGAAAGACGTCGTTATCAAAAAGAAATTATATTGGTTTCACTCTTGTAATGATAGTTACATTGCAGAAATAAGAACTATTCTATTTTACAACAGTAAGACTATTTGTTGCAATATCCAAGTTCTGATCAAGTTTTGATCAAATACATATCTAAATTATTATTTTCAATAAATAGATGGTTGCGAATTATTGATCATTTATTGTCGAGATGGTAGTTTCATATTTGATCACATATAAAAAATATTGATAAAAAAAAGAATTTTATATAAGTAAACCTTTTGTGATCAATTTTTCACAGAAGTATTTTATCTTGAATAATTTATAAATATGTAATCAAAAGTTATGTTTGTTTTTTTTTTAGGATGATCTACATAAGTTGAAGTATTTTTCATTAACAAATTACAAAATTAATTATGATTACGACAACTTCATTGTGTCGCTTCATTGTTGTAATTGATATCAATTGGTCGTCGATGGTACATGTCTTCATAATGAAATTTTAGTTCATATGCCACAACTTCGTACGTTTATATTTAATAATAGTACAGAAAATTACGTTGAATATTTAGATGCTGATCAATCTATTGATGATATTCAACAAGCACTGGCTAATATAAAAATATGGACAAACAACTTGTATCATAGATGATTTAGATACTTTTAAGATCATATTTACTCGGCTGGAAAATATCACAAATTATTTTTCAACTATTGGATTTGAAATTGTAACTCAGTTATCTGTCTTTGAATACAACGAAGCAAGAATGGAATAGTGATGAGTTTGAATCTTATCATAGTCCATCTTATTTAGTTACTGAATATTCTCATCTTATATCGCTCGATATCATGGATGTCAATGAAGATTATCTTATGCAATTTCTACTCGAAACAAAAGCACATCTACTCCATTTAACTGAATTAAAATACCGGTAGGATCAATTGGAAACGGTAACAATGAACTTTACAAGAGACTAAAGACGGCGTAATTGTTCGAAAGTGAAATGATTCATTGTTGAAGAACAAACAGGTTTTCCAAAAGATGTTTATCAATATTTTCCTTCATTATAAATGTGAATTTTATGATGATGATTTCAATAAAAGTAAATCATGTAAAAACCTTTAGATTATAAAAGTGTAGGAAATATGAATTTTTTTGTAATTGAATATTGTGTTAAATAATAGATTTTTCCATTGGAAAAATATTCATATTATTCAAATTGCTTTCTATTTCTAACAATGGAGGTATGTTTGTGCTGTAAGTCAAGGACATTGTATATGTGGAAGCCAAATTAAAGACTTTACTGTCAAACAAGATCAACAATGGCACTCACTCTCTGGATTGAATTCACTTTATAATGTCATCCTCGAAAAACAACTTTTTGTAGAAGACGATGAAAAGAAGAATAAAAAAAAAGCTGCAGTAGAGATTCATATGTAGTCTTTATTTTTTGTGTGGTGAAAGAATAATACTGACGCACCGACATAGATTCACATACTTTTGCTTCCATCGAAGCAATTCACTTAATCCCTAACGGTTTGTTGACTCTTTTACTTCATTAGTAACAGTTTACACAAAAAATTGGTATTTAAGAAATACTCGGCACTTTAATTTTGGACGAACAAACTTCAAAGCGAACTTTGCATTACTTTGCTCATTCAGTTCGAATAATTATCAAAAGGATTGATTCATTGAACGAGAACAATGATTTTTTTCGTTTTTTCATTTCTGTTTGTTCTTCATTACGATTTTATTTTTTCTATTCCTCTCGCGAGGTCGAATCAACTTGGCATTTATCTTTGCTTGAAAATAAATGACTTATTTTTCAATTGAACATCGGTAACGATGGATTTCTAAAAAGCAAGTATTCGAAGTAGAAGATTGATTTGTGTTTGTCTATGGATCTATCAAAAGTTTCCAACGAATCTTACTCTGAAATATTTCTGTTTTGCAATGAAAGATGAGTGAGATACCTTCAGAATATAGAAAAGTGTATCATTTATGGCCACTCATTATTTTCAATTGTATCAAATAATAATCGATGAGCATCGTGACTAAAAAATTGCCTGTAATGATTCTTGATCACATGTTTTGAGATGAATGTCACTTTTGTCGCAACATCAATTCTTCTGAAAATATGATTCTATATCATGACTCCAAAGCTATTCGATGAGTGTTGATTCTTCAAACGTTGTTACATCTTGTTATTTCTTGTATTTGGACTGTTGAGAAATAAATAGAATTGCGAAGAAAAATCTATTTATTTGCCTAAACTTGTCAACCGACAGAATTGAATGATTGTAGCATTCAAATTTATTTCGAGCGCAATTTCACATTTTGTTTTAAAGAACTCTTAACTGGAATCTTAACCGGATTAATCTGCATCTAGTGCCGGTTATAAATAGAGCTTCGTAAATTTTCTTTGCTCAAATGAAAACATTGATCGATTGACGTGAAAGAAAAATGAAAGAACGAAGAAAATAGGCATAAGGAATGGTAACCTGTTGACTACTGCGATTGGTTGTTGTTCGAGAAACGAATTTAATATTGTTTCACGCAATCAGTGCATGTACAAGAGAATTGAATAACGGGCATGTGTTACAAGAAGTGTAATCAGCTCGTGCTGATTAAAATCAGGCTTCTACCTATAAATAGAGGCAGCAGAAGTTGATCAACTCTCCAAACAGAATTCTATGCTTTTTACTTAGTCATCAATAATCGACGTACTACATATCTTATTAAAAAGAAGATCCTGTCTATAATCAGGTATGATTTTTTTGAAAACAGGATGTGGGATAGGATCATTGATTCAGAAAGATTGAAGTACAGAATAGTAATGTGCTAGAACCATCGGACAAGAATGATGCATTAGAAATAAATAATATTTACACATAATTGTTCGTGATGATAATTGAATATTTAGATTACTGCTCAACAAATTGTAACTAATCCAAAATCAACGATGACTTATAACGATGATATGAACTATATACGACACTTGAATGTGATACGCTTAACGATGGTCGATGAAAATCAGATGAACAATCAAGATCCAGCACAGAGCACAATGATACCAATATCAATTCATAATGGAGCATCAGAGACAATTCAGTCTCCGCCCCCACTGCTGTCTTCGGTTTCTATGATAGCTCATCAAAATCGAGAAGAAAACACGGGAACAGGCGTAGATCCATTTCAACGAAATTTATCTATTCTTGATCCATTATCAGATCGTGTCAGCACAATACTTGTTTGGAAGAATTTAACTGTTCTAACACGTGAAGATAAAATTACTGAATTCTTTCAACGAATAAAATGTTGGAAAAAATTTACACCTAAACGACAATGCTTATTGAATAATATTAGTGGTGCAATCACAGGTGGGTTATGGGCTGTGATGGGTATGTTCAATTTTTTCTTTTGTCATGATACATTCAAAATACTAAATCTATCATAGGTCCATCTGGATCAGGTAAATCAACTCTCTTAAATACATTGGCTTGTCGTTTGGATGTCAACACAATTGTACAAGGTCAAATAAGTCTCAATGGTGGACCATATAATAATGCAGAATTAAAGCGGATAGCTGGTTATGTAATGCAAGATGATCTTTTAAACGGAAATTTAACTGTGTATGAAACATTGATGTATACAGCTGAACTTCGTTTACCACGTCACTTTATGCGTCAACAACGTGAAAAACGTGTTCAAGAAGTTATGTTTGCTATGGGCATTAATCATGTTAAGAATGTTATTGTTGGAACTGTGCTTAAAAAAGGGATTTCTGGAGGGGAAAGAAAGCGTTTATGTGTTGGAATGCAATTATTAAATCGACCACAGTTACTTTTTTTGGATGAACCAACATCTGGTCTTGATTCAGTGACAGCATTGGATTTAGTGCATACCTTTCATTCATTAGCTCATGGTCGATCACCGGAAAAAGTTGTAACTATTGTTTGTTCAATTCATCAGCCACAATCCAAAATATTTTATCTATTTGATTCATTGATTCTACTCAAACAAGGTAATATTGTATATCAAGGTCCACGGCAACAGGCAATGGTAAGAAAATTAATGAAAGAATAAATTGAAAAGAAAGCAATTTTTTTCTAATAGGATGTTTATCGTATGGCTGGTTTTCCATGTCCATTATACACTAATCCAGCTGATCATCTACTCGATGTTATTACACCAGCGAGGACAATGAATGATCAATCAGTTTCCACTGAAAAACAAGCAGATGCTGATAAATTAATATTAGCAATTCAAGCTCCTGTTGAAATCGATTTGAATATGGGTGCACACAAGCGTATTGCTCAAATGGCAGATGTACCAAAAAATCCGTTGTGGATTACACAATTCTTTATTCTTCTTCGACGCAATTTTCAAGAACAATTTCGCTCATCACAAATTATTCTCACATCGATTATTCAAACAATCATCATTGCCGTTTTAATTGGTTGTGTTTTTCTACAAATTGGTAATGGACAATCAAGTACTCTTCGTCGAAATCCAGTGATTTTCTTTTGTGCTATTAATCAAGGTATTTTCGGTGCTCTGATGGTTATCAATTCATTTCCAACGGAAAGAGCATTATCATTACGAGAACGAGCTTCTGGTACTTATTATGCAAGTGCTTATTTTACAGCTAAAGTTTTAGCCGATACACTTGTTCAAGCTCCTGTACCGGTTTTATTTGTAAGTGAATCAATTCTTTTGATGAAGTTCTTTTTTTTTCATTTGAAATCATTTGAATGTTTTTTTAGTCTTGCACTGTCTACTTTCTAGTTGGTTTTCAATTGACTGCTGGCAAATTCTTTATATTTGTAGTGTTTATTCTTTTATGTTCATTCGCTGCAACATCATTGGCTCTAATGATTTCTGCTCTATGTAAGACAACAGACATGAGTGTCACTGTCTTACCTATGGCGCTAGAAATAACACGACTTTTCGGTGGTTTTTTCTTGGCTCCATCTCGTTTACCAAAATATCTTTCATGGCTCGATGCTTTATCTTATATCAAATATGTTTACGTTGGTCTAAGTCTCAACGAATTAGAAGGCCTTAAATTAACATGCACAGCTAGTGAATTAGCTTCAGGTAAATGTATAACCGATGGAGAAGCCACTATTCGAGATCTTGGTCTCGATTATATTAGTATTGGTGGATGTATAGGAGTACTATTTGCTTTCATTATTGGATGTCGAGCAATAGCTTTTTTTGGTATTCGATATCTCAAACATTAATATGTGATAAATATTCATTGAAACAACAAACAATTTCATGTACTTACTCTCTGATTGTACTTTTCATTCGTCGCATTTTTTTCTTCATTGACAAAAGAAAAAAGCAGTGAATGTGTATCTATGTAATTTTCTTTCTTACGAATAAATAGTTCAAAGACGAATCCTTCTTCATTCTATCAGGAGACCTGAATAATTGCCTGTCTTACTGAATGTATAATTGATAATCAATAGATATGTTTATTGGTATAGTTCAGGAAGAGCAAAAAGATACGTTAAAAAAAGGGGGTATGCGTGTGAGATTCTAGCAAGAATTTATGGACTGCAACGGAATTATTAGGATGGATAGCTGCACATAATGTGAGACTATCTTTCTTTTCAAAAGTATTCACTTCAAAGGTAAAGTAAGTGCGCACAGAAGTTTTCAAACCTCCAGTGTCTATGATAACTGAGATCTGGTAGCGGAGGAAGACTATTGTCCACTATTTAACTTGTGAAAATTTTGAAAGATCTGATATCATCGAAAATTCGCTTGGAGAAAACATACTACTGAGCTAGCAGAAATATGCATGATTTTTCTAGAAAATTTATTAAGAGATTGATATAAATTAAGATCCACGGTTAAAGTTTCTTACTACAGAACACCATCAATTTCTTCTGAAACTGACTTTAGTATTGAATTCTTAACTTATACTTTTTTGAATGAATGACTAGAATCATGAATCGAACTGGGTGTGGGTGCAAGTAGAGGTCAGGATGTGACTGTGAAAGTAAGACATCTCTCTTCATACACACCTTATCTGCAATATGTCTCATCCAGAAATAGATCGCTTGCTGCTATTTATTAGCTTCTAACTAGTGAAGTAGTCTTTGATACATTAACAAAGAAATGAAATACGAGAGATAGCTCACAAGATTTGAAACGATTTATAGAAAGTTACGGACTTTGAATTAAGAGTCTTCATAGAATGTCGTAGACGAGCACTCGGAACAAGAGGCGTGAAATGAATACAGTCTGTGCCTCAGGCATCTTCCAGTAGTCTTAATTATTCTTCATCAGCCATAACCATCCTCAACTGGGCTTCAATCATCTTAATTAACCATGACTAGTAATTAGAAGGTTTTTCAATTATTGCTCGCTACTTTGCCCTCTCGTAATGGACTAAAGTCAATTTCAGCAGCATATTCAAGTTCTCGAATTTGGATTACTTGCGGTCAAGTTTGTTGTTGACTTTGTGTACACGTAACTTTACACGTTCATACAAACATATAAGTAAGAAAACCAGCTTATTTTATTCAATACGACTTTCGTTTCTGTCAAGCTATTAAAAAGCTAATAATTTAAATTTATTTAAAATTTAAATTACTGATAATTGACTTTATATCAACACAACAACAAACGACCATTAGAAAAGAGAAAGAAATAAAATTAATGACCTTGTTTGGAAGATATTATCCAATATGTGTGTTAATTTTACACCTTTCAAAAGAGTTCAAGATTGTCAACGATTTGCTTCAAGTGACATTTCTAAAATTACACCATTTTACTGTTTAATTTTTTGTCAAAAATTCTAATAGGTTTTGTTACTCTATTATTTCGACTCTCAATTAACATCTGTGCTTGTTTATAATAAAGAAATGAAATGGAAGAAAATAACACAAAGAAGCATGGTGCAAATACAATGGCAACAATGAACAATGACGACAATAGTGCAGTAGTAATAATACAAATATAAATTGAAGTTTTTTATGAGTTTATAATCAGTGTTAGGATCTAATGAATATGGCAGCCATTGGACGAATTTGACTCATGGTTTATTTGTTTTGTCTTTCGTATCAGTAAGCTCCATATGTTTTTGGTTGTCAATCAAAAAAAATCCACTACTACCATCTTGTTTTCGTTGTTCACTTTCATCTCTATTAACAATTGCTTGTGTATATGAATCTACAGTTGAAAGAAATCAAATTCTTTATTTTTGTATCTGGAGAAGAAAGAAAAATCACTTGTTTCTTGTATTCGTTGGACTGAAATGAGAGTCATATAAAAATAGATAGAGTTTGTATGTTTGACTGTACGTTTGGCAGCACGTGTTGAGTCACGTGCACATATATTAAAAAAATAGAGACTTGAGATGTGAGTTTGAGTCTTCTATTCACCGACATGCGGAAGAATAGTAGGTAATCCAATAGCTGGTGTAGTTGTCTCATTTCTCATCAAATAATTCACTATATAATGATTGGAGATATTTGTTGATCATACATCGAAAATTGTAATAGATTGTAAATCATTTTCACACTGTTTTGTCAAACAATTATAATTGACTGCCTAAAAACGCATATGTTCAAATAAAATGAGTAGAATCAAAATGAGAATTTACGTTCCCTTTTTAATGATTGATTATTATTTTTAGCGATTTATTGTAAGGTGTCATTAACGCATAAATTAACGAGATCTTATTTTATTTCTATTTATAAATTATCAGATAGAACTAGATGAGCTAATCACAAATATGTGATTTTTTAATTATTCGAAAAATCTTTTAAGTTAGAAAAATTTTAAAAAACTCAAAAGGTCTCAAACTTGGCAAGAACTGCTTTCTTCAGAAAAATTTCAATGTTTTTCATCTCTACTATGTAAACTTCTCAGAGTTCTTTTCTGATTCGTCACTCAAAATGAAGTATTTGAGTAGCATTTGATTTATTTTGTAGTTAAAATCTCCGGATAGTACGGCTGTCGCGAAGGGTGTCAGTGTGCATCCAAGTGTGGTAGTGTAGTTTGCCGAAAGAAGCAATGAACACATACGCACACTTCACATTCTAAAATAATTATAATGTAATAGCAATCCGTAAATAAAGTTCTTTCATCATATATTTTCAATATACCCTCACGAGTTTTTTCGAAGTAAACCATAAATTCGAACCTTGACAGTCGTTAATAATTACAAAATCATTTGAATTATTCATGTTTTCAGACTGTTGTTTACTCAATTAAAAAAAAGGAAATGACTTTTTTTGCACATAAAAACTTCATGCGGTCCATTCTTACTTTGACTATACATCAGATTTCGAAATCACGACACTTTTTGATAGGTCAATGCGAAATAACAATTGTCTTTATTCTCCTGATCTAATCTCAATTCTATTAGAATTGCTTTAGGATAGCGATGATTACAACTATATTTATTTTACAAAAAAAAGGATTTCTATAAAATAGAGCTCAACGATACTTTGGTAAAATATTAGGATATAGAAAAATGTTTATTATTATGGTAATCACGAGTTTCACAAAGTACAAGAACTCCAACACTTGTAAGAAAAGATATGAGAGAAAACTAATTTCTTAACGAATCGAAAAAGCAAACTGTAATACATACTATTCATACTGAATGTGGGTTTATTTCTTCTCTGGATCTTTATTCTTCTCCTATACTTACATTCACATCCTATGTTCATCCTAGTTCTTATCGGATATGACTTTTTCAGATGGTATTAGGTCAGTGAAAAAGTGCCACTTAGTACGAACAAACGTGCAAGACAGTATAGTACATATTCACTGATGCTCTAGTTATCCTATCCATGAGTTCCTTTTTTGTGTATTCCTTCTGAATCATTAGGAAACATTTGTTAACGAATTTGAAAGTATCATTAGACAAGGTTTTTTTTTTTTTTATAACAGTAAACATTTATTTCAATTATTCATTATTATTAATGAAATGTTATTCTCTAAAAATAATTATTGACATGTTGCTGATGAGATGATTGACTATTAATTAAATCTTTATTTTTAGTTAACATATTACATATACGTAAAATATAAGATTTAATTTCTATAAGCATTAATTTTAAATTTCTATATAATTGATAATCAAGATTAGAAATTAAATGATAATTATCATCAAATTGTGGTCGTTTAAATAATTCTTTATTAGCTATAGCACGTTGTTCACGATAATCAACAATTTGACTCATATATACAATACAATTTGATTTCATTGAAGCTATTTCATTAAGTATTTCATTTTGTACAACAATAGAAAAATCATGACTATCACTATAAGATGGAATTTCTAATTCAAGCCAAACTGTTAAATGTTCAATTATTTCAATAAAATCACGTAAATAATTTTGAACAGGTTGAATCATTAAATTTAGATGATGATTTGATAAATTTGAATTATTAATATTGATTATTTCATTCTTTGAAAAAAAATCATTTTTTAGAAAATTTTCTATTTCATATGCATGTTCAACAAGATTTATTAAAGATTTTTCGGCTTGTTGTTTTATATTTGTATAAAGTTCTGTAAATATATGATTATTTTTATCAATATCCATGAATTTATTTATATCCTTTTTTGCTTTGTTTTCTTTACAATATGAACATAAGTACAAAAAAAAAGAACAAATGAATATTTAGTTTATATCTAGATAGAGCGCCAATGTGTTTTTTTCTTTGTTCATTGAATTATTTGTGGTATTTCATTTTGAAATGATATTTCATAACATTCAAGTGTACGTAAATTTAATGCAATACATGAATTTGATTGAGCAAAATATGGAATACAGATAAGACGAACTTGGATATCATGTGGATCTAAACGATATTCAAAATTTTTTTGTTTCATTCAATTATATAGGCATCATAATTGAGTAGCTGCATTAATTGACCCATATTCACAAGGTACTAGAATACTTCTTAAGTGCCATCTGATATAGAATGATCCTGGATAAGTCACTAACTGTTATTTGTCTCGGACGACCTATCTAACATGGACTGACTTTTCTGTCCAAAGCTACAGCTCTAGTATCAGAGATGTCCATCGCGGCGCGACCGATGCCGCTACCGCTGCCGCTATGGCGGTGGCGGCGCGGTAGCGGTAGGTTTTTTTTGGAGAACAATGCAAAAATGCATGAATTCGAACAGAATTTCAATGTTTCCAAGTGCAAAACTATGAGATTCAACGAATCTTATCGATTGGTAACAACAGCTCTAGTCCTGAACA